TGCTGCAGCTCTTGCTGCTGCTGCTGCTGCTGCTGCTTCTTTTCTAAGCCCCGCAGGAACTGCTGCAGAGGCTCTTCTGGCGCCGTTGCTGCTGCTGCTGCTGCTGCTTCGGCTTCTGTTGCTGCAGCATCTGCTGCTGCTGCTGCTGCTCCAGGCAGCTGCCACGAGGGGCCCCCCGCCAGCTGCAGCAGCGCATGCGTCCACAGTCTGCATTCTATATCTGCAGCAAACCACAAACCCTAAACCCTAAACCCTAAACCACAAACCCTAAACCCTAGCTACCCACATGTAAACCCTAAACCCTAAACCCCATCTCCAACTCGCTGCCACCGCCAGCCCATCGAGAAGCTGCAAATATTAAGCGTTAGGGTTTAGGGTTTAGGGTTTAGGGTTTACATGTGTGGTTCTAGGGTTTAGGGTTTAGGGGTACCTGCGCTGCTGCTGCTGCTGTGGGTGCAGTGCTTCTGCTGCTGCTGCAGCAGCCGATGCAGCAAAACATTTGCCCGCTGCTGCCACTGCGGCACCTGCTGCGTTGCTGTCTGCTGCTGCTGCTGCTGCTGCTGCTGCTCGAACCCTTGCTGCTGCTGCTGCTGCTGCTGCTGCTGTAGTCGGTCGCAGAGCAGCAAATGGAGGGCTGCTGCTGCTGAGGTCTGAGCCGGTGGTTCTGCTGCTGCTCTTCTCCAGCAGCAGCTTAAACTCCCGCTGCTGCTGCTGCTGCTGCTGCTGTTTCTGCTGCTGTTGCTGCTGTTGCTGCTGCTGCTGGTAAGGATTTGCTGCTGCTGCAGCAGCAGCAAGACCAAGGCATCGAACTGCTGCGGCTGCAGCAGCCCCACCCGCGCCTCCGCCAGCAGCTGCAGCAGCAGGAAGCTGCAGATACACCTCAGCGGTTGCTGCTCTATCTGCTGCAGCAGCAGGGGTAGCTGCTGCTGCAGCAGCAGCAGCAACTGTGGATGCGGCAGCCAACGCGAATGCAGCAGCTGCTGCAGCAGCAGCAGCACAGCAGCAACGCCTTCTCCATCCTTCAGTATAGAAGGAGTGGTGCTGCATTGCCCTTCTGCTGCTGCTGTTGCTGCTGCTGCTGCTGCTGTTGCTGCTGCTGCTTTTGCTGCTGCTGCTGCTGCTGGATCGCAGCAGGCAACTCTGAGAAGCAAATCAACTGCAGCAGATTCTTCGTATTGCCATTTTGCTGCAGCAGAGACGGACGCTGCTGCTGCTGCTGCTGCTGTTTCTGCTGCTGCTGCTGCTCCGGGATCTGCTGCTGCTGCTGCTGCTGCGTCTGGTGCTGCTGCTGCTGCTGCTGCTGCTAGCGGGTGCGCGAGCTGCCTCAGCAGTTCTGCAGCCTCGAGCTGCAGGTCCAAGGGACCGCGGGTGCATGCACTCTGCTGCTCTTGTTGCTGCTGCTGCTGCTGCTGTTGCTGCTGCTGCTGCTGCTGCTGCTGCTGCTGTCGAGTTATGAGTTTTCTAACGACTGCCAGTGCGTCTGCTGCACTTTCTTTTGTTATTTCGTTTGCTGCTGCTGACGAATCAAATTTTCCTTCAGCTGCCTCTTTTCGTGCTGCTGTTGCTGCTGCTGCTGCTGCTGCTGCTGCTGGCCCCGCTGCTGCCGGTCCTGCTGCTGCAGCGGCTTGGGATTCTGCTGCTGGGAGAGTCGCAGCAGCAGCAGCAGAGGTGAGGTGTCGTGCTGCTGCTCTGAGTGCGCGCGGTGCAGCAGCAGCAGCAGCAGCCGCAGCAGCAGCTGAAGCACCTGATCCATCAAAAACAGCAGCAGCTGCTGCAGCCGCCTTTCCTGTTGTATACATATCTATAGCTGTATTTAAATACTTAATTATAAAAAAAG